CCGAACTGAACAACTAAACCACACGAAAGAGGAGAAACAAAGATTAAAGGCCCAGTTTCTCATTGCAAAACCAGATGCCACAGAGGACGAGTTGCACGACCTTGTCAACTCTTCGGAGGGTCACAAACTGCTGGAAAAGGAATTTAAACCTGGCGCACGCTCATCCAAGGGCATCCTGAAAAAAGCGGGCGAGAGAAACAAAAATATAAAAAATATTGTGAACTCGATTAATGAATTGGTGTCGCTGATCGACGAGCTGCACGAAATGGTGATGAACTCACGAAAAATTGTTGATAACATTGAAATAGAGATTGATGTGACCAGGAAGACGGTCAAGGAAGCGAAAAAAGATCTTGAAAAGGCGAGGAATTACCAAAAAGCTGCCATGTATATCAAATATGTGATTTTATTTATCTTTGCACTTGCAATTTCATTTCTCATAATCGGTGTTATTCTTTTTGCTCTGGCTAAACTATTTTTCAGCAGCTGGCAGGGCGAGAACAAGAATGGTAATAAATTAAAAACTGACAAGAACAGCACAGCACAAAACGATACTACCGAATGAACCAGAAATATGTGCCATGCATATATTGTTGGTCATAAAAACCGTTTTAATAAATTATACTTCACAATACTACATTTTATATCGTAACTTTTTCGCAGAGCAGAGTAATACGCGCCATTATTATTGTTCTTATTGGTATTACCTACTCTATAACATTATTCTCTTCTACTAATTACCATTGATTTGCATTCATTCAATGCAATGGTATGATATTCGCGGTTTCTCTAACAGTTTAGTTCAAAGAGTGCCAAAATATGATTTTTAAAGTAATAACTGTTCGTATTTTCTTTAATCATAAGATGAATGTTTGCTCCTCATCAGAATCCTACCACTAATTCCTGCTAATATGAATTCTACCGTTTGCTAAGCCGAGAGAATACATGATGCGAGATCGTACGTGATCTGTATAATATATTCATATCTTTTTAATGCTCTCCGCTTCTATTTGAATTACCAATCGAGTTTTCGATAACGCACTATTAAAGCTGCAAAGAAATGAAACATAAAATATAGAAAAGAACTGCCGATGAATTCTTTTGCTGATAATACAACAATAAAACATCGAAGTATAACAAGAAATCATTCAATAATTTAGCTTCTCTCTCATTATTTTTTTCTATTTTGGTAGTACGAGCTAACGTTTTCAAGAAAAAATAACAACAATTCTCAAGATAAAAACCAAAACCTTTTTCTACAGAGTAAATAAATCGTACATAAGAGGAAATCCTTGATTAATAGTTGAGTGTTTTTCAAATGATCGCATATACTGTAAAAACAAACGCATAACATACAACTTACGTACAATTATTTATGGCTATAATGTGAATTTACGCATCTGCTATTACGGTTAACATAGAATGCTGAACACTGCCGCTTGCAAAACTGAAGATTTTGATTGGGAAGTAATTCTAATCCTTTAAACATCTCAACATACGTTGTGATTAAGAAACAGGTATATTATTGAAACTTAGCTCATAAATATTATTTAGATTAAATTGTAGAGATTATTATGTATCACGTGGTGTATGAAATGGTGAATAAAAGCACGTTTTGTAAAAAGTTGTTGCGGATTATCATTGACAGAAATTACGCAGAATTATTACCTTATTCGATAGCTTTGTCCACCGCCTTTTACTAAGAACGCATGTTTTTCATTTTATACATCTCACAATATAATTTATCACATAGACCACACGCCTGCAGCCATAGTTGATCTCGGTATATTAGAAAAGTATGTACGAAGCCGTGAAGCGGATAATTGAACACAGTTGTAAAGGATCGTGTAATTTATTTAACGTTTTTAATACATTAGATAGTTATTAAAGGTAATAAATCTTATATTACTTACTATTTCACTTAAACGCTCTCTTATGAAAATTTTCTAAAAAATTGCTGTTTGAAAACACGTGATATGATACCACAATTTCTATTTACCTCAAACTTAGCAACACGCCTAAATTTATAATTTTAATTGGTCCAAATTTATTTAACAGCAACTCTTCTTTTTCTTTTTTTTTATTTGTATTATCTTCTTGTTTCTCACAGGCTCTGTTCTTGAAAGCATCTCCTTAAACTCGGGATCTAAAGCTTTTCGTTTTCTATACACCGCTTTGATCAGCTCTTCAAACGCTTTTTCAACATTGCTGCCATCCAAGGCCGAAGTTTCAAGAAAATTAAGGTTATTTGACTTGGCTGCATCATTTCCACACGCAACAGTGACCGTTCTTTCGTCTTCCAGATCAGTTTTGTTGCCAACCAGCATTATTTCTATTTCTTCGCCCGAGTATTCCTTGAGCTGAGTAAGCCAGTGCTTGGTAGCATTGCTTAGTGTTGATTTCCGGGTAATATCGTACACTACAAGAGCACCTAGCGTGCCTCTGTAGTAGGCAGAGGTTATAGCTCTGTATCTTTCCTGCCCCGCAGTGTCCCAAATTTGTGCCTTAATCACCAGGCTGTCGATTTTGAATGTTTTAGTTGCAAATTCCACGCCAATCGTAGCTTTTGTCTCGGCAGAGAACTCTTTCCGTGTTAGTTGAGACAGTAAATTAGTCTTTCCCACGCCTGAGTCGCCAATCAGTACTATTTTGAAAAGGTAATCGTAGTTTTCCATTTCACTGTGCGTGTCTTTGTTTTAAATTCCTTTTTAAACGCCGTAACTTTGTTTTGGAAATGTTTCATCACTGATCCACATGATCGGGACATTGCCGGACAGGCACGGCGTGTTCACATTACGTCGGGAGAGTGTGATAAATTCACAGTGGCATTGCCGAACAGGCACGGCGTGTTCACATTACGTCAGGAGAGTGTGATGAACTCCTCATCGTTATGTTCATGTAATTTAAAGCGTCTCTTCACCAATCCCAATATTCAGCCAAGATGCCCGTGCATACGCTAATAACCCAACAACCACCATAAAAACAGAATTTACACGTAAATCAAACGTTACACATCATATTACATACGACAGGCCGTACTCGTCATTCATACCAAATTAACCACCGACAAGACCCACCGCACCAAATACGAATAAAACGGCCATTTTACTTACAATTTTGATTATTCCCACCACCACAGATAAACCACACGATAACACCATAAAGCAGCCCTGATAGAGCACACACGTAAACATTCCCTGTAAGAACAGAACAGCAACACTTTAAGTGATGGTTACAAGACAATGACATTAAATATTTTATTACCACGTTATAGAAATTACAGAACCATCCTCTTCTTAATTCAACGGTATGTAAATGCTGCTCTGACCGATCGTGATGAAACGCGTACAACCTGGTGCTGTACTTGTATTAAGACATCCATCTCATAAAATCATCTCAGTAGGTTATCTTACGATGACCTGGTCATTACGTTCTCATACACTAACTCTCAATGCACCGGTGTAACCAGGACTTAAATACTCGCCCATCAAATAAACACTTTCATCCTACGCCACGTATACGAACCAAAATAAACACTGCAGTGTACAAATATTACATTTTTAGTTTTTCATCGGAGAATTCGGCACTCCGCAGCGATGCCTTGCCCAGATAAAACGGCGTTTTTATTCCAGTGGGAACAACTACGAGGACTGGAACTTAAAAAAGAGCACGGAGAAGAACGGCAGTACAAGATTATCATTGCATGATACGAAGTACTCGATCATTCCCATCGTGAAGTAGTAGAACACGTAGTTAAAATTTCTGAACAGCATGTAGTGCAGAACGATCGCAGAGAGCACGCCAGAGAGCATGCCCTGTATGCTCTTGCCCTTTTTCTCAAGATACGTGCCTATGATCGATGCTACGCTGTCAAGCATAAAGACCGTTATCAGCAGCGCGATGAAATCCTCGCACTTCTCGAGGAAGTAGTACGGGTAGTACGTGGAGCAGAGAATCAGGACATTTGAGATGGGAATGTTGCCGTGGTCCTTCTGGCTCGTGAAGTGCTTGAAAAACGCGGAGCGCTTGAAGTTAACGCTCAGAAAAACGTTGAGCAGAATGATTATGTCCAGGTTGTAGCGCGTGAAGTAGTTCATGTTGGATATGCACGGCAGCATGAAGAAGTGTATCGCCTTTCTCTTCCAGTTGTTGTTACACCGGAGGATGCTCAGCTGGACAATGAAGAGCAGTGTGATCATAATCATCCAGAACACGAACAGCTTGTAGTAGAACAGGAAGTACAGCAAATAATCGATCAACAGCCGCGGCACGTCCATCCTGAACGTCGCCACCAGCTCAAATATCTGCCCTATCATCCATTTATCCTCCGGATTTATCACGTAGTAGTAGAACACCGCGTTGAACAGGCTCTGGTCCTCAATGTTCTCCCGGATAAAAGGCACGCACAGGCTTATGAGGATGTTCTCCTTCGTGTTGAAGCTCTTTATGTTAACCGTCAGGTAGTAGTAGTACACGAGCGTTTCTACAAAATGTAAATCGCTCCAGAAGAAGAAAATGTAGGCGAACGATCCATTGACAAGGTTTGGAAAAATTTTGAATGGCATGGGTGGCCGTTTTTGCGGGATTAAAAGCGTAGAATGTGACAGGCGGGTTACAAGAAATGGGTGGGAAAGAGAATGTTGGTGATTCGGGTGAATTGTTCAAGAGATCGGTGAGAACGCTCTTCGCCGTGCAACAGGGCTGTTTAATCATTGTATCGTGATAAGAACGATCTGTAAAATTCTTGTCAGCTAAGATGTTACTAAAGTAGTAAATTAAACGGAGAGTATATTTATTATTTGCAATACACCTCAATTACGTTTATATATTTAACAAAAGTACCAAAGATTTAGGATAATGCTGGTTCTGGATCAGGTATGGCACAATTACGCCTTTTTGTGTCTTAAAGTATAATAAAAATGTACGTATCGCTGTCATTTCTATCAAATTCCTTTGACAGAAGTAATGTCTTTATGTCATCCGTGAATTATCTATCACAAGCCCTGGTAGCTCAGTCGGTAGAGCATCAGACTTTTAATCTGAGGGTCTAGGGTTCGAGTCCCTATCGGGGCGCATTTTTTATCTCCATAGGCCCACCCACGCACATTTTAAAACGTTGGTTTTGAAACATTCTATTTGTTCGGAGAGGTAATATTTTTAATTAAAGGCATCCCCAGGAGAATAACAATTTTTGTCCTTGCTTCGAGTAATATCAGGGTCGATTAAAAATGCCTTTAATAAAAAACATTAAACTTATCCTATATCTCTAAACATAGGCTACATTAAAGCATATCATTACAATGCATGGCACTGAATGTCACAGCCCCTTTGACCTACAAGGTTATGAATTTCTATTTGATCTTTAAACGTACGGCTGTGAAAATTGAAGAAAAAACAAGAGTGGGAACAATAACAACGGCAACACGCAATGGCACCTCTTAGGCAGCTGCAAACAGTAAATCGTAGCACTCCTTTTAATTAAAGATCCTCCAACGTTTTATATTTCTTCTCCGGCACTATCTTGTTTTCAACGCCCACCACTACGAACCTCTTCGTTTTTGAAAGCGGTCTTACAAGTGCACAATTAACGATATCACCCACGTTCACAAGGCCCTCAAAACACGGCGGAAAGTGCACAGCAAATTTCTTCTGCCTCCTCTCATATCTCTTGTACTTCTTGACGTAAAAGAAGTATTTCTTGATGCAGATGATTGTCCGTACCTGCTTCATCTTCAGTACCTCAGCCTTGATAAATTTTCCGTACAACCGAACGCTTCCTGTGAATGGACAGTTCTTATCGATGTACGTGCCGTTTATGGCTGTCTCTGGCACTGTTATACCATATCCTACCTGTCTGTAGTATCTTTTCTTCTCTTCATTCTTAGGATTGTTGTATATCTGTGGCTGTTGCGGGTAGATCTTAAACTTCGTGAGTGTCTCAACCATTGAGAAGGGCATACAAAAATTTTTAAAAATTTTCACTTTTGCAAATTGAGCGTTTTGTAGGGTCCAGAGAAAATGAAATGTATGAGTGCTGATAATAAAAATATTCATAAAAATATTCATAACAATATTTATAACAATATTCGTAAAAATATTTATAACAATATTCATAACAATATTTATAACAATATTCATAACAATATTCATAAAAATATTCATAAGAATATCTCCCTTCTGTAAAATACACGACTACAATACATCGCCCTGATAGTTTTAATAAGAATGTTTTATTTTGATAGAATGGCAATTATAAAATGATGCCCTGAAAGGGCATCAATAGAATTATTGCTCAGATAGAGTGTCAATTGAGATACAACGCTGTTAAAATCCATTAAAATATTTAATTCTGATAAAAAATGCTGTAATACACACAATATTTATACAATATTTATTATATGGTATAGATATTGGTTACTCATCTAAAGGCTATTAGTCATTGATAAACACCACGCAGTCCTCATTAGATGTACGAATTAGTTGCGTTGCTGATTTTCATTTTTTTACTAAAAGCGTTTTTATTGGTTCATCTTTCAAACCAACACGCACTTCTCTGGTCCGTTGGGGCTGATCATGGCCACCATTCTTTGATTCATGGGGTAACATTCGCAAAAATACCACGTGTATTGTTACACCAATTACAATTTTCAGAATGAGAGGGTTCCTGACTCAGCTGTCAAGTTACGATCCGTGACCTTTTTAATTGTCGATGAAGTGTTTCCTCGTGCGATACATCATTTGTTCGTTTTTAGATGACGAGATTGGTGCTCGTCAGTGCAACATTAATAATACATACGTTCTAATTGTGAGTGTGTGTCTTAAGATTAACTTTGATTATGAAAGCGTATCTTATTATTAAGTCTAAATATGAGTGCATGCCACCAACATTACTTTGATTATGAAAGCGTATCTTATTATTAAGTCTAAATATGAAAGCGTACCTTAACATTAACTTTGATTATGAAAGCGTATCATCGTGTAACAAATACTTTTTTCTTTTTCTATTGCTTGTTTTGGCTGTATCAATCGCCTACCTCCTCTATTTACTTTACAATTGCTTGTTTCACTGGATCTGTTACAGATCGCCAATAAATAAATTGTTTTAACCCCGTGGGTAGAATCGATGCTCACACGATCATCAGCTTTTCTGCACAAGGAATTTAAAAGAACAAAGGACAACCCGTCATTTTCGGTGGGGTTGGTGGACGGCAACATTTACACGTGGGAGGTGATAATACTTGGCCCATCGAACACTTTGTACGAGAACGGGATATTCAAGGCGATAATGCAGTTTCCTGAGAACTACCCTGATTCACCACCAAAATTTCGGTTTGTGTCTGACATGTGGCATCCTAACATCGACAAGGACGGCAACGTGTGCATTTCTATTCTGCACGAGCCCGGAGACGATCTTTATGAGTACGAGTGTGTTGCTGAGCGGTGGATGCCTGTACGAAATCCCGAGAGTGTCATTCTCAGCATCGTTGCTCTTCTAAATTGGCCAAATTCTGACAGCCCGGCCAATTTGGACGCGGCAAGGGAGTTCAGAGAGGACAAGGCACTTTACGACAAGAGGGTGCTAAGACTGACACAAAAGACATTAGAATGAATAAAATAACTAATTACGGAGTTATCACTGTTTTATTCTTTGTTACACTCCCCGTTCCATTTTGTTACCAGTCAGCCTGGCGAAATGTACGTGCAAAAGGGACACGTGTGAGGAGAGAACGACAGGCAAGGCATTACAATGCACCAAGACAGCAAACGCTTTGTTTGAGCCATAACGATTAAATCAGTGTTAATGTAAGTATCAGAGATTGATTGAGTTTCAAATAACGAGGTAATTGCTACGTATTTTGTAATAATTATTGTTCTAAATAAGCTTTTAAGATCACATATAGCATATTTTATACTTTTTAATTTGATAAACAGTGAGAGTATACATTCGTAGGATGTCTCAAACTGTACTTCTAAGCCCTGAGGTGTTAAATATAGAACAGAAATGTTAAATTACATCATTTCATGAAATAAACGTTTTGTTGGTGTACATCAAGTAGAAAAGTTTAATTTTATTTTTATCACCGTTTCATCAGTAAATGCGGCTTAAGAAAATAATACGGTCTTTACACGACCATTCTCTACATTTGACTATCAAAACCGTTCTTATACGACCAATCGCTGTGATGGCAATATAACGCCTTCAAACCCGCCCGTCTTCTAACCACCGTAAATCTTTAATCTCAACGCCCATGTAGTAGTACAATTTTGACGGTGCTACGTTCCTGCACTCCTTAATGCATCCTTGCGGTGCGACCAGTCCGATCTCCTCCCGCAAGTACGCGAATACATCGCGTCCCTTTCTGCAGAAAAAGTAGCAGTGCAGCTCACTGTTCGTGAATGCTTTCACGTATTTAATGAAGTAGATGCTGAGCTCGGGCAGATTAAAAACGAAATGTTCTATCACACGGTCTGTGAGGCTTAGGAGCACATCCTTAGCATCCTCGTTGTGTACCTCGTGCCGTGCTGTTATTCTGTTGATTTTTAGGTTGTTTTTAAAGGATTCGATTGCCTTGGGATTGATGTCGTTTGCGATTACGTAGCATCCTCTTTTGAGTGCCTGTATGCTGATTGGTCCTATTCCGCAGAACAGGTCCGCAACGACATCATTCTTCCTGAATTTATTCACCAATTGCTCACGCGCACCGCTCAGCTTGCTGTTAAAGTAAACATCGCCGATATTAAACGCAAATTTTGTGCCATTTTCTACGTACAACACATCCTTGCTGTCCTCACCAAGCAGCAATTCGTACTCCGTGGTCCTGTACGGCTCTTTTACGACATCTTTTTTCAAAAAAATCGTTTTGTATCTCCCCAGATCAATGAAATACTCCGCGATTTCTGTTTTGTACTTTTTCTGATCATCGCTGAGATTGAGGATCAGCGTTTTGCCTAGAACCTCGAACGAACGGGGCAGTAAATCCTGCACAAACGCTTCAACACGGGGTGATCGTATTGAATTGGTGTGCTGTGGGGAAGAGCAATTCTGTTGCAGGACACGCTCCTTTTGTCCTTCCGTATTTTCTTCCGTGCCACAGCGGCTCTTCCTGACGTATTTATCGTTAATTTTACCTACGCCAATACAAAAATGATCCAAGATAAATGAGCCGTTCTCTTTCGTCCGTTTTATCGTATCATATTTTCTATCATCATCGTTTACTTCACCGTTATTCTCTATTTCCTGTTTTGTGCCCGTTTCATCATCATGGTGCTTTTTCTCCTTGCTCACCATTCCATATTCACCAATTCTAGTACAACAACACTCATCAGCAGCAGAATGACTGTCTTTCTTTCCGTTGTCACCTTCCATACTGCAAATCTCCTCCTTTTCATAATTTTTCTTTCCATTGTCTTCCATACTGCAAATCTCCTCTACATCATAATTCTCTCTTTTCATCCTTTCCCCCACTTTCACAACAAAACGATCAAACGCATCCTCAGTCTTCACAGAAAGTGTCACACCAACAGATCCTTCCACGTATTCACTGACAAGCAGGTACTTACCTTCCATCCTTACATCGTTACCATTCCTTACAACGAATCCGTTGTAATGTTTATCCGCGTTTATTATTCTGGGCACTCCTTTCTTTTTAAACGTGATATGGGCGTATTTACGTATCGCGTCTTCAATTTCACCAGTTTTGAGGGGAACAGCGAACAATTCGTGCATGGGCTGCAACAGGGCGGCAATAAAAATAGTAAACGGCGTATTACGAGTGCAGATGAACACGTCTTTTGCAAAAAAAGGACGTTCTACGAGAACAAAATGATGATTAGAGATTTATTTTAAATTTTACTGTACAAATTAAAGAATGTGTGTGTTTTATAACAATTTTATTATTTAGAACGGGGAAAGCAAAGATAAAAGCATTTCATATCACCGTATGGTACTTTAAAAGGGAATGCTTGTATTAAGTAGAATGCGTTTCGTTTTATAGCCTTTAAAGCAAGTTATCCCATTTAATTAAAATATCGCGTTAATCAAAGAACATTCACCACTAACAGACTATAAACCA